GTCTTTTAATCTACTATCCTAATGTTAAAGGCAGGTAGCCCTACATATCATTGAGGTGCCTGTATTTGTTCTATGCTTTGCTATGTGCTGTTTCCAGGATTTACTTGCAGCTGCAATAGCATGTTGCTGAGATGATCATTTATTAGCTGGGCATACAGTGGTGTGATCCTTTCCTACCCTACAAAAGTGCCACTGTTGTTGTGCATTAATTGAAATTAACAGCATCCAGCACCAAACAAAGCAAGTATTTTGTGTATTGTACTGAGATGTCTTCAGGACAGACAGAGAAGCCTTGGTTACAGGCTGTGACAATTAATAGTTCAAGACTTCAGGCTTTATAAAAGGAGAGGAGGAAAAAAAAAAAGAAATAGTGGTTTGGTGCACGTCACTAGTCTCCCATCTACCTCATGGAAGCTGAGGGTGCAGAAGGGAATGAGACTGGTGTTGGTACACATAGAAAAGCTTTCTGATATTTTGGAATAGGCATATGAACTTTCTGCTAGTAATACACAGTGAGGGAGTTAACTTTTAAACCATCCTCTTCTGCTTAGCAGATTTTCTAGTAGAAAAAGACACGTTTTTTCTTGTGGCTGAAAATAGCTTGTTTGTTTCCTTTTTATACAAGAAAATAGAGGTCTGACTACTAAAATACTACTATTGAAGCTTACGATTTAGCAGTTAGAGTCAGAAGGACTCAAATGTTTATGGGAAGCTGTTGGAAGCAGATTCCCATTCATTTAAACCAGAAGTGAAGTCAGTTACCAGAACTTGGATATCAAACCTTTTCGGCTGGAGAAGTATTTTTTAAAAAAAAAAATTGTTGCGCTGACCTAGATACTGAAGTCTTGGTGGTTCTGTGTCAGTATATCAGGTTATAGCTGTGTTTATAGCTGTAAGGTTAATGATTGAGTGATTGTTTACTTCTGTGAGATAACTGCTGATGGACACTACCTAGCTTTATAAATCTGAAGTTTCACCATAATAATACTCTCTTCAGAGATGAAAACAAGACTGACCTTAGCTGTCATTGTGTAACAGCGCAAGCGAAAGCCTAACATTATTGATAACAGTAATTGCTCTTGTGCAGAATAGCTCCTGACAAGGGTAAGGTAGGAAGCCTGACCAGCTCAATGCTGGGAACTTAGCTGGCCTTGTGCTGGGCTTGCTAGAGTGCTCTGTGCTGCTGTCCTTGTGAAGGTCTGTGGAGAGCTTATAATGCTGGTGGTGACACTGGCGCTGCAGGGACCACAGCGGCAGGAATCAAATAGATGACAGCTGTTCCATAGCTGGAGGATGAGAAGCTGAACCCAGTACAATGTGAATTGCCATCTGTCTGTTTCTCAGCTCAGGCACCACTACTAAAGGTATAGAAGCCATGGTTATATCACAAACTGTGTCTTACCCAGGCTGTCATAAAATGTCTCTTCTGGTATTTTCCTAGGTATGCTCAGATGGATTTCTAGCCCTGTGTATACACTGGTACCTATATCATTTTGGTATGATGTTCGTTACCTTACATAAATATTTGCATCATGGTGTAAAATAGTGTGGTACTCAGCTAATGTAACTTCACAAAATCAGGTGATATTCCACTGAAAAATGTTGGTCTGTGCATCCAGTTGAGTAGACTGAAATGTGTATGCTTCTGAAAGCGGGTGTTTTCTTTGTTGTTTTGTGCTCATCTTCCTGCTTTATACATAGATCCAAAAGATTTTATGCTAATAAGCATTTTGAACACTAGTCTGGAGATTCCTTCTGTAATCTTGCAGGTGTTTATGTTGGGACACTGAAGAAACACAGGTTTGGGAAGAAAAAAACTTGGAGTAAAGGAGTAAAGCAGAAGTGTCATCTCCAAAAATGGTGATGTAGTAGCTGGGAAGGGGGAATAATTCACCTCAAAACTTAAATAGTTGGCCAAGTCTTGTGAATAAAAAATAGAGTATGGCAAAATTATGCATAATAGCAATCTTACTTATTGCATTTTGGGAAAACCTGTCACTCAGTTGGTCAATTATGTTGTTCAATAAACTCATGCTTTGAAAACAGTGCCAGTCTGCCTGCATGTTTCTTGTTAGGCTTGGAAGAATGGTCTGTGTGGTTCTGGGGAAAAAAAAAAACCAAAGCATCCTGCTTTTACAGCCAAATTACTGCAAGAAGATTTTAGGAGACTTATTTCATAAAAAATAAAAGAAGTTGACAAAATGGTGATATTGCTTAAAGCTACTTTATGTTTAAAAAATAAAAATAAACAGCATGCTTATTTCAGATGAGGTTATTTCTCGTGATAACTTGTATTTAAGTAGAGTACCTGAAGATTGTCTTAGCTTTATCTCTGCAAGCATTGCTTTTCTGCATGTGAAATCAGTCAAATAATGGTAGTAGAACCATCTTTTTGTTCTCATTTTAAAGCTGTAGAACCTGCTGGGTATTTAAGGATGTAGTGTAGTTACAGACAGTATTTCTAGACCACTGACTTCAAAGAGGTGCTAGTGTAAACTCTTACCCATGAGTGAGTACTGAGCTGTAGATGTACGTAGAGCCACCTGTTGACGCTGTGTGTCCATCCCACAAGCTCAGTACTGTTGAAAGTTTTATATTGGATTTTCATCTTCAGCCCCTAAGTACTGAATTAAGGTTGATTTAAAACCGTTTTTTTCAGATATGAATGAACATCCCAAAGGTTACAAGCCACAAACTTAAACATTTTTTCTTCTCTCTTTAGCTTCTGGCTAGTGTTGTACTGCTTATGTAACAGATGAAAAGATTTGAGTTTTTTGTTGCCGAATAGTAGTGTTTCATTGCTATGCTAGTAGGTGTTTGGCAGCTACGAAGTCTGGAGGTACACAGAACAGTGAACCTGACTGTAAAGCTGGCTATTTTCCAAAAAGGGAACTTGTTTCCAGTACACCTTCTGCAATTCTGAATAGCTCTGTGATGATAGGGCAGAGGAACCTTAAAGTCAATAAAAGACTTAGAGGTATATCTTAAGCTTGTATTTGTTCTTGCTTGTTTAGTCACACTACTGTGCTTTTAGGGGATGCAAAAAAGGGTTCACCTGGGATTTATTAGCTATATTTGGATTTTCTTTCAATTTGCTGTCAAATAACATGGAAACTTAAGTTTTAGGTAAATATTTAAATTGCTCAAATCATTTATGAAAACAAAACATTAGAGCATGAAGGCATGTAATTCAATACTGCAAATAAATAAGCAAATACCATTTTAATAACTGGTTTCACTTTGCTGTGTAATAACAATGCAAAGTACTATTTTGTTTTCAGTCCTCTACCCTCCCTCCCTGAGTGAAATACCGATGCTGTTTCTCTAAATGGGTAGTTCGTTAACTGTTTGATAGCATACAAAACGTAACTCCTGCGGAAACTGCTTAATAACAGATCTTCTGCAGTGGCATGTCTGATTTGTATGAAACATTGCAGTAATTGGCTTCCTTGGTATTGTCAGCAAAATTTAAATGAAAGTGACAGTAACTAGTCCAGATTTTTTTCATTTTGTTCAGGTTAAAACTATTAGACAGTAAGTGACTTACTGGTTTTATTGCTTTCAATTAGCAACCCAATTTTATGCTCTTTTAATTACCATTTAATTGGATTTCCCCTTTACACTCAAATCCTGGCAGCCAAACCAGCTGATTTTGTGTTTGGCACAACTGAGGGGCTGAATTTTTTCCACAAATCTTTCTCCAGGGAATGTTACTGCCAGCATAAAAACTCTTCTTTGGAAGTGGCAGATCTACTTTAAAACCTCCTTTCTGGCCTCTAAATTTGCACCCCCTCATTTGTGCCTGACTCTGAATCCACTATTTGAATGGTTGTTGTAACTGAGGAGGCTGAAGCCTCTGCAGTAAAGCTTGAATGTAAAATGTAACCAGATAGGACATACAAACAGTTCTTAAATTAGATTCGAAAAGGTAATGTTGGCATATGTAAGTTGCTTAGGAAAGCGTGTAAATTGTCCCTGTAGCTGTTCCAAGAGATTAATTGTCATGTCTTTGCATGTTCTTAGCAGAGGGGGAATTAGCTGTGTAAACTGACCTTTGAGAGTAAACCAGAGGACAAGGCGGGGTTGGGTTTTGCTTTTAAAAAGGGACTGGAGGGGAGAGGAAGAGAAAGGAAAAGTCAATGGTTTAGAGACTGAAGGAGAAGTAGTGCACTGAACCCTTGCTAGGCTGGAAGAAGAGGCCCTTCCTGAGCCTTCAGCTACAGCCTTCTTCCCTCCTCTGGCAGAAAGAGAAGGTGGGGAAAAAAAAAGCAAAAAAGTAAAAGGAGGAGAAAATAGGAAGGACATGTTGCTCTCCTGTTACTAGTTCTGGGCTCCAGATGTGGATAACATCATCCTCTCTGGAGCTGATTGCATGCATGGGCTGAAAAAAAAACATGGCTGGGCTTTTTTTTCTTGTCAGCTTCTAGCTCCTCTGTAAACTGTTTTGGGAGTGGGGAGGAAGGACTGTTTATATTAGTGTTAAGAGATTCCTCTTCTAACTCATTTAACCTCCTTCTATAATCCTGAGGGTTAAACATTTTCAGCTCGTAGTTCAGTTGCAGTTATTTGTAGCTGGCATTCACATTTGCTCTGTAATTCAATTTAGATGATGCTGCTTGGCCCAAATTAGAGCAGACTAGTACAAGGAGCTTGGTGCATGTAGAAACAGATCAGAAACTCCATAGTTAAGGTCATCCAAGTAGAGTTGTAAATATTTCCCCTTAGTTTTAAGGTATAGTTATCCGGCTTGAATTCACTTGTGGAATTGTGATTTGTGCTGTCAGATCTTATTTGTCAGATTTCTCAACTACTGGAAATGCTGAGTAACAATCTTTTTGTCATCACAAAAATACTGTAATATTCTCATTAATCCATGTGGCTTCAGTTCCCGTTGTTTGCCAGTTATTTATTTATTAGAGTCTATTTTCTGAATAGCTTTCAGCTACACGTTCTTCAGAGAGATGAGATTTTATTCATACATGTATCTACTTATAGGTGAGGAATTTGAAACTGGAGCATGAGCAGGAGAAAAACAAGATCTTGTCAGAAGCATTAGAGACGCTAGCTACTGAACACCATGAACTAGAGCAGTCCCTGGTTAAGGGATCTCCACCTCTCAGCATCATCAGTGAAGAGCAGTTCTACGATGCTGTTTCAGGTAAGTAACGATGTCCGGAATGTGAGTATGTGGCCAGCACCTGTGGGGTGAATGCACTGTGGGGGCTGAGGGTGTGGGAACAGTATCACTTTAAGTGAAATCTCTCTCTTTCTAACATGGAACTAATTTTAGAGTGCTTCATGTGCTTTGAGTGGGCCTCTAAAATTTTGCCCGACTTCTCCTGTAGAATTGTGTTGTTTACCTTAGATGAGAAAAAGTTACAAAACCACAGGGCAGTCCTGAAAGGTCTGATTGCTTGGGTGTCTACACCCTTTTTTAAATAGCAAAACTTAAGGCTCCTATTTTAGGAGATGTAACTGTATCTGGTAGCCTTCTGACATGCCTTCTCCATGGTGGTGTATGTTTTTCTTTTGTTGTTAATGTGGGTCAATAAAAATGACTAGTTTTGAGGGATAGTGAGGTTAAAGGCTTGTTCTGTTTCACTTTTGTATATGTTATCACAGATGAAAGAAAAGGATGAATCAAAATCCTGTGTGCATTTCTGAAATATTTTTTCTTCTCCACTCTTCATTTTAGTGTCTTTCATGTTTTCATGTGCAGAACATGCAAATAGTGATATTTAGAAAACTCTGAACTGTGTAAGATGATTATAACATACATTTGTATAGAGTCTGTACATAGTGCAGCTCAGTAATAGCTCTAACTGGGTGATCTTCAGCGTACAGCTGTCTACAACTATGAAGTATCTGGAAAAGCTGGAGGGTGAGTATAGTCTAACTATAGCAGATAATTAGGTTGTGATGGCACGCTTCATGAGCAAGTGTGGGGTTACTACTTCTGTGAACTGAACTGTCTGATGCTTCTGATAGATAAAAGCAGTATTCCTAGACTCCTTGGTAGGTGTTCTGCAATGCACAACTTAAGCAGAGAATGGAAAGAAGCAAAATGGAGTCTATGCTCAAGCATAGCACTAGCACGGGAACTCAGCAAATGAACAGCAGACGCTGCTGCTTGGCACAGTAGAAAATTTATCATGCCTTCCAGGAGAAGAGATTGAGGAACACTAGAAACAGGTTCTTCAACTAGAACCAAAAGAACCTGCTGAAAGGCCTCAGGCTCTTTTGCTTGTCACAACAAAGCAAGTAATAGTTGTTTATCTGATGTTGCTGGGACGTAGTCTCTACAGCCAGGCTTGCTTTGTGTGTATGAGAATACGCAGCTTTAAAGAGCTGTTAGTCTGTACATCTCATAACTGACCTGGTCTCTAAATCTGCTTTAATCAAAACGTCCAAAGCTGCCTCTCTAGTTGGAATAGGTGATGTTTTTGTCACTTGAAGCTGCAAACGAATCGCATTGAGTGGGTTTGTGTACCTGTGAAAACTTGTTTTTTATATATATGTACACACACATATATGCTCAACAACACATATGTCAATTCTTTCTCCTTCAGGAGAAGTTACTTGACATAATTCATCTTGATTGCAATTTAAATAATTTTCCAGGACAGACTCGCTTTCTTGAGTGTCTGTCAACTTCATCAGACTTGTGTTAGATTCTTTTCTCTAGGTTGTTCAGTCAGTGCTTTGCAGTGCTTGGGGGTCCTCTCTGTCTCTGAAGGCATGTGTTTGGGGGAGGGGTGCTCTGATTTTCATTTGGGGGAGGGCTAGAGAAAGGAAAATGTGACCTGTTTTCCTGGTTGCTGGATGCATGCTATGGCTTTCACTGTTAGCACAAAAGGAATTAGTTTCTTGTGAATGTGGCTTGGGGTGGGTTTTTTTGCTAATTGCTGTGATCTTGGTAATGCCTTCTAACTCTCTAGGTTTTCTGCCATATCTGTGGAGTCTAAACTAGAAGGCTTCATGTCTCTGACAAGAATACAGTGAGAGCAGAGGAGTCGGGGATATATGATACTGGCTCAGAGGTTGGGAATGGGGTCTTCTTGAGCTAATGAGACATGGGATATGATAATAGGTGTTTTCATAAGAAAGCAGTGATTAATCCTAATTGTCAGAAGTTAAAAATTTTCAGCTCCAGAAATCTGCGCTACTAGGACTTTGTCTTCAAAGCTTTTGCTAAACCTTATTTGCAATCCAATAGTATTTTATTAAGTTAAATGGTACTGATTTTAGATAAATAGACATATTCATGAGTTATCTTACTAGGCTATATAGGAGACTGAGCAAACACCAATGTATTTTAACAGGATGACGTGACAAGTTACAACGTCCGTCAGTGGAAAAATGCCACTGCTTCCAGAGTATTTTTGCTATTAGGATGCTATCTTTTTGTAGTTAGTTCTCTGAATTTTTAGATCTCCACCGTAGGAGTGAGTTTAGAAGTGCGAGTGTTGCATAACTAGGCTTGCACTTTGAGCTAAAGAATCGTTAGCTTTGATTTGACAGGTTGAAAGAAGCCACTGCTGGTTTGGTTTTGTTTTTCAGAAGTGTTGTCTTCATATTAGACACTTTCTTGTTTACTCTCAACAAAAGTATCCCTAGCTGCAACAATTCAGAGCAATGCGAGACTTTCCAAAGAGGTTTTTGAACAAGGGGTTTATTAGAAAGGATATGTTCACAGCGGCAGCTACTTGTCCCCATTTACCATGCTCTGATTCACATTATAGAGCAACCTGATTGCATGAACCAGACTCCTGAATGAAGGTGAATCAGAAAATATAGTCCAGTTGCTATTGGACACTCAGTCCATGGTAAGAGTAGAGATAATCTGAAGAGAATGCCACCAGAAATGTATTTAGTTCAAGTGTCAAGTCCTCAGCACCATCTGTTTGGCTTGCAAATCTGCTCCAACTGAGCTATGCTACCTGCTAATGTTGGCATTGACTAAATTGGTCACTGGTAAGTCTGTGTTGTGTAGTTCTGTTTGTAGAAATTGTGAGCACGGTTACAGAAATAGCCTCTTTCTTTTCCAATCCCAAGGTGAGGACAGTGTTTGTAAAGTGGTAAGATTGCTTACTGAAGTAGTAGTTTGTTTGCTTCTCTTCTTATTTTTAAGTGATAGCTGTTGTCAATGCTTTCTGACTGTTGCGGCAACTCCTAAATCTCTGCAATGGGAGACCAGTAGACACTGAACATGAAAAGACAAATCTACAGGAAATGGGAGTTACTTTGTGCTACCAAAGTGGCATCCAGTGTTAAGAACAGCAAAGTTAAGGGTGTTACTAATCTGAACTCTGATAAAATAGGTCAGTTAACAGTGCTTCTGGTGCACTGATCCTCTCATCATGGGAGTGGTGGAAATGTGTAATTAACTCGATAGCACATGGAGTGCTGCAGCTCTGTTTCAGGATGGAATGCCTAACGTGTCAAACTCTTCTATGTTTAAAGTGGGGTGGGGGTGGGAGGGGACATTGGGGAAGGGAAGAAGCATTAAACAAGTAGCAAAATTTAAGACCAATGACATCTCCTAAAGAGCTGGAGAAGTTATTAGCTTTGATTAAATATAGAGACCTCAGGAAGCATATGAAAACAGAATACAAATACAGAGTCCATCCACAATGTTGAAAAATGGCTAAGCAGGTCAAGAATTAAAGGGTGAAGGTATTTGATTTGTCTTTCAGATAAGATTCCCTGATTATATGCAGATTGCACACTCAATTTGAGAAGAGCTTAGAACTGTCTTGATTTCTTTCTTGAATGGGTTTTATCTGAGAGGTGGGGGTTTTCTGCAAACACAGCTTTTGTGCATGTTGAAGGAGGTATTTATGGTTTTACATAGGTGTAATCTCACTATAAAAGCAGTTATTTAGCTGTAGGAATATTTCTATTATGCTAAAGGTAACCTGTCATAATGTCTTCAACTGTTTTGTACCACTGAGTACTGTGTTTATAAATGATGCTCTTAAACAGTACAAGTAGTAGACTAGTTCTCTTGGGTTTGCTCACTTCCTAGTTTGTCTCCAGTCATCAGCTCACTTAAAAGTAAAAATTGTGCAAAACGCATAGAAACTTACTGGCCTTTCCTTCCATGTTTAGAGGAGTTTGTCAAGTGGCTTTTTTTGAATATATACCAAAAATACTCCACAACCTCTGTGAGAACACTGCTGGCTGTGGACTTTTTGCCTTGAATATAGTTAAAAGAATGATTCAAGTATATCAGAGAAGGATGGGAAACACCTGGTCAGAATTCAAACCCAACCTTGCCAGTGGTTAAACACCACCTTTCTGAGGTATATTTATTAATCAAATACATTGGCCAAACTTTTCTTTCTGGAACTGAAGACTTATCAGTTGTTGCAAGAGGAGATGAACTTCCCTTGAGTTAAGCTTCTGTCTTGTCTCTGCTGTTTCCCCTTGCTCTCCCACTCTTGCAAGAAATAGCTGGTGTTTTTAGTTACCCTGACACTTGAGGTTTCATGAGCTGAAGTGCTTCCTAGTCAGCCTGATCTTGTCTCAGAGACGACTTAAAAATTTTGGCTTCTGAACAGGGACTCTTATTCCTTCTCCTCCCCCCTCAGCCCACACCCCCTTAAGTTCAATAGAAAAAATATCTCATTTTCTCCTAGTCATCTGTTTGACAGCTGCTCTGTAGCAGCTTGTGAATATAAATCTTTTTTTGCAGTGACGGGGGAGTATGCAAATCTTAATTCAGAAAAGAGTTAGCTGCAAGTACCCAGGAAAAGCTCAGTTCAAGTTGCCTGTTGATCTGTGCTCACAATACAATACTAGGCTTGTTCACTGACACCTAAACAAGCTCTTAAGCCTTGTTAAGCTTGTTGGGTCAAAGGAGGTAGCTGAGGTTTAGGGATTGGAGATTGATATCTTTGGTGGCAAGAGCTGTTGTAGACATACTTTCTCAATGAGAGCTGTTTCTCAGGAAAATGGGAGAGATGTTTCTAGAGAGCTATTTTTTATAACAGTATCTGGTTTCATTCTTCTGCTGTGCTTTATTGCATAGCCTGCTCTTGTATTAGGTAAGGCATGTGCCCTGGAGAAGGCTGGCTGGTCAGTGTCCGCAGCTCTGGAGAAGTTTGCAAGTGCTGAGCTCAGTCCAACATAATTGTCTCTTGGCACTGTAAGGCCAGCATTAGAACTGATCATGTGTAGTGTTTAAAAATCCTTGTTACACTGAGAAGCATATCAGAGTGGTCAGCAGTTCTGGTGAAGCTTACCTGTTCTTCCCTTGCCATCTGTGGAGTCCTAGGTTGTTGTGGAAAGTCCTGTTAACGGAATTGTGTGTCGTGACTCTTGTCTGAAGACAAGACAGTCCTGAATGGTACAGAAGAAAGGAGGCAGACTCTTTGCTTTATGTTACAGGGTTTGCTTCATGCTTTCATTGTCACAATAACTGTTGGCACAGTTGAGCAACTCTTTCACTAGAGAGGTGGAATGCTTGCCTTGAAGGGATTTGTAGCTTGTCATGTCGTCAGGATGCTCAAGCCCAAGTTGTGTTACACTGCTAGAGTGTCTCTTCCTCTGTGATAATTGGATACACAACAGTGTTTTCCTGACTACCTGGGCTTATGATCTCTGGAGAAACCTGTATTTTATGTAACAGACTTGTCCGCAGGTAAAAATGCTGCTCCTTATCCTACTTGTTTTATACAGTACCCACCAAACTAATGCTTTGATATGTTATGTCATAATTTGGCACAGAACCAGACTGACGAATTTGAGGAAACTTATGTGAAGATTCTCTGGAGTGCCAGTCCACTTTGTTAACATATCCTTAGCACCAGCTGGCAGTTCTTTTCATTCCCTAGCAACTGGCTTAATTTCAGTACTGTCTTGACGAGGATAGGGATGAATGTTTTTAATGAAAGCAAAGATCTTTATGCTTCTAGATCTCACTTTTCTCTAGAGAGGATGGAGACATTGTGATACAGCCCCATCCATTAATCAGGATTTCATCCTATTGACCCTTCTGTAACCTGGATGTAGTAGAAAGTCCTCTTGTCATTGTCCCCTTCACCAAAGCAACATATAATGTACATGTTCTGGAGAAGCTACTGGCATCAGGCTTTTTTTAAGAGAAAACGCAAAAGCACCTGGCAATGGACAGCTGTAACTGAGGTATTCTTTTGGATGGACTACTACTTCAGCAGGTTTCGATTACTAGTTTTGAATTAGAATCAGTGTGTGAGAGAATGACTAATCTTGCAATTATTTCTCTGGGTAGTTGCAGCCAAGAGCAGTA